CTGGGCAAAGGACTCACCCCAGCAGATGCAAACGGGGGCGCTGAGCACCCCCCCACCCCGCAGGAAGAGCTGCAGCCCCTGGGGGGAAAAAAACCACCGCGAAGCAGGAATGCCCACGCCCCGGAGACAACCAGGACCGTGTTAAGAGAGGCTGCGCATCCCCCGGAGGCTCCCTCAGCCCTGACGGCGCGGAGGAGAAGAAAAGAGCAAGGAAGGCGCCGAGGGCGGGGGGAGCGCTCTCGAGAACGCCGCCGACCCACCACGCCCCCCCCCTCCGCTCCCGAGAGCCGTCGGCTAGAGAGGCTGGCGGGCGATTACCGCTTGCCTGCCGGCGCCGCCGCCACTCCTTCCCGCTGTGGCGGAGCCCCGTCCGGTGCCTTCCGAGCTCAGGGCGCCATCACCCCCACCCCCACCCCCGTTTCCCCGACGAAGAGGAATTCCAGGCCGTGACGTCAATAAGGCGCGAGGAAGGGACCGCGCTTCGCTCCTGGGAGCTACTCCGATATTTTCTCCTTCTTCACGCAGGCAGTTGCTCCGAGGGCCTCTTTCCTCAATGTTGGAAAACACTGAGGAAGGGGAGAAACGTTTATGGGAATGAAGTGTGGGTGATGGTTGTAGGGCTTTGCTAGATGGTACACCGCCCAGAGTAGCGGGAATTCACGAATCGGGCGGTATATAGATTAAATAATAGACTGTGAATATTTACCTCAGGCTCCCCCAGTAAAAGTGACCAGCGGTTCTCCCTTGGCAAGGTTTCTGTGGCTTGAACAGTTGTTATTGGCAGAAATTGGGCAGCGCTGACGCTTTAGTGTTACACCCAGAAACACAGAGAGAGAGAGAGAGAGAGAGAGAGAGAGAGATTGATTCCTTGGGGAAAGGAGGGATTCTATAGAAATAATAACAATAAAAACCTCACATACTCGTAGACGTATACTGTATACTGTAATTTTTAAAATGATACACTGAAATTTATTTACAGTATTTATCTGCCTTATTTATAGATTGCCTTTCTCCCAATAAAGCCACTGGAAGCGGCTCAGAGTATTAAAAATACTAGAATTAAAAACACAATAAAATATACATTTAAAACAGTTAAGCTATAAAACTGATTAAAATACACTGAATGGTTAAAAACATGTAAAACGTTCAAAACTATCTTAACTAAAAAACAGCATTCAGGTGTTCAGTCCTAATTGTTAAAAGCGTGCCTGAAAAGGTGGGGCTTTAATTATTCGGGAAAGGTTAAAAGTGAAGGGGGGAAAACCTGACCTTCCAAAAGAGAGCACCCCATAAGCTGGGAGCAGCCACAGAGAAGGCCCTCTCTCAGGTTCCCATCAAATGTTCCTGTGCTGCCAATGGGACAGATCGAAATAGGTCTAGAATTGGCACAGCACAACTCCTATCTTAAGAGTTAAGAAGGCTCCTATGGGGAGATATCCTCCTTCAGGTAGCCTGGACTCAGTAGCAGTTTGAATTGGGCCTGGAAACAGACTGGTAGCCAATGTAGTTGTAGGAGGCGTGTTATATGCTGCCTATAACTGGCCCCAGTCAGTAGTCTGGCTGCTGCATTTTGAACTAGCTGAAGTTTCTGAACCATCTTCAAAGGCAGCTCCACATAGAGTAATCCAAGTAGGATGTAACTAAGGCATGCATCACTACATTCATAGGAGGCAACTCAAAGAACAGGCACAGCTGGCACACTAGTTTTAACTTTGCAAATGCACTCCTGGCCACCACCAAAACTTGGGCATCCATGTTCAGAGGTGAACCCAGGAGTACACTCAAGCTGAGAACCTGAATTATCAGGGGGAGTGTAACCCACTCCAACCCAGGTTGTATCCCCATTCCCTCATTTTGCTCATCTGCCAATTTACCAGAAGCACCTCTGTCTTTTCTAGATTAAGTTTCAGTTTGTTTGCCCTCATCCAGTCTATTACTGAGACCAAACACTGATCTAGAACTGTAACAGCTTCTTCAGATTTAGATGGAAAAGAGAGATCGAATTGGGTGTCATCTGCATACTGGTGACATCAAATCCCAAAACTCTCGACAGTGTCTCCCAGCAGCTTCATGTAGATGTTAAATAGCATAGGAGACAAAACAGAATCCCTTGGGGAGTGACACAAGTCAATGGCCATGGTTTCGAACATGGGTTCCCCAACACCACCTTCGGATTTTTCCTTTCCAGGAAGGGCCAGAGCTACTGTAAAACAGTGCCTTATGAGTCCCATCCCAAAGAGGTATACCAGAAGGACACTATAGTTCAGTGATGGTGAACCTTTTTGAGCCTGAGTGCCCAAACTGCAACACAAAATCAGCTTATTTCAAAGTGCCAATACTGCAATTAAAACCTGAATGCTGAGGTTTTAGTTTAGAAAAAAAAACTGCTCTTGCACTGCAAGGGTTAAATGTTTATCTTCCCCACCCCAATTGGTGGTATTAACAAAGGCAAAAAAGTGTCAAAGGCGTCATTGTATGACTGTACCCATACTTATTCATTTATTACTTTCATTCCCCCCCCCCCAGCTCAGGGCTTAGGAAATTCTTTTTGGTGCAAATGCTGGAAGATAACTTTTTGGAGCACCACCCTAGAATCCTGCCAGAAGGCCAACATGGGGAGATTTAACAATCAGAGTTATTGTTCACGGGATATGTTAATAGGCCACAAATTTAAAAAAATCATGCAAAATGCAAGCTTTTGTGGATGAATCACATGATCAGAGGGACTGTTGACATCATCTTCAGGACTCAGCCAATCCCGAGGGTGCTGCTGCTGCCGCCTTGGGAATCCAACCCCACTCTCCTGGGTCTTTGTGACCTCACAGGAGCCCCACCTCTCTGTTGACAGATAAAAGGGGCTTGCTGGGCAGGGCAGGAGACCAGAAGGGAGGCCAGTGGCCAGAGGCAGTCTAGTAGAGAGAGCACCAGTGGCTGCAGGGGACCCAGCCCTTCTGCCCAAGGCAAGTTCTCTTGGGAAAGCAGATGAATTTGCTAAGTGGGCTTGCGAGTTAACAGCGCGAAGCTGGCAGAGATCCATGGCTTGAAGCTGGTTGATCTTGGCGATGGGCCAGGGGGAAGTTGGTGGACGTTGGCAGACAGAAGCTGGTGGAATCTCCCTGAGGAAGCTGCCTGAGGCCACAAGGCAGAGGCCAGCAGAATTTGGCAGATGAAGCCAGGGGACGTTAGCCTCCTGAAACCAGCTGGCGGAAGCTTCGTGGATATCCGTGGACCAGATGCGAGGGACCAGAAGGCAGGCGTCCTGCTGGAGCTGAACCAGGCCGTTGTCTCTGCTGAGGATACCCGTTTAGCCTCTTTTCCAAAACCAATAAAAGAATTTTCTGGAATGGTTTTGAAGTGCTGTCTTGTTTGTCAAGGAGTGTCACGGGATTTTCTTCCCCATCCCCTCATTATATCTAGGGCCCAATGCCTGGGGTGGGTCTTTGTGAAGTCATGGTGTGGGGCCTTGTGATGTCACAGGAATTGGGAACATATTTCTCCATGCATGTGTGAGGGAGTGAACTAGGCATTATGGGTTCCCTGTCTGAGGTCCTAAGCAAGTATATTATGTGTCGTGTTGGACAGACACAGGAAGCCAGTGAACCCTGGTGCCATTCAGAGAGGGTTGGAGTTGGGGACCCAAACACTATGGCCACCCTGTAACAATAAATGAGACTCGCTCCTTCCCTTCCACCACTGCTCCTCACATTTGTTTTCCTGGCCTGGAGATTCAGGGGAGCCCAGCCATTTCCTGGCGCAGCAGCTCATTCTCTGAGACCTGGAAAGCCTCATCATCATCAACACCATGAGCACTTCATGAAAAGCTCCTTGCAGAGTACAAGTGGGGAGAAAATATGCCACTTCAAAGAAGCTTCCAGTCCAACCTCTCACGCCAGTGCCACAACCAAGGAAATGGAGATGGGCAATGATTTGGAGATGAGCGTACATTAAAATTCATGTGGAACCATGCCATGGATAAATGGCAAAAATAGACTGGTACCGCAAAATCTGCTGCTTGAGGGCAGTGGCTGCCTCTGAGTGCCTAGTGCAGTGATGGTGAACCTTTTTTGAGCCCGAGTGACCAAACTGCAACACAAAATCAACTTATCTATTTTAAAGTGCCAGTACTACAATTAAAACCCGAATACTTAAGTTTAAATTTAAAAAAAACTGCTCCTGTA